TGACAAATGATAACTATAGACCATGCAGTAATTTCAGATAGTTTTTTTGATATCATACCATGTAAAATGACCGCAGTAGAAATAAGCATGTGTATTTCCTGTGTTATCCCAATAAAACATGCATTATCCAGGCTCTGTACCGCTGTGTAATTAAGGAAAGTTAACCAAATATATCAAAATATATAAACTATGATAAACACTTTCCTTTAAATTATTAAGTTTTTACTTGAAACAATAATGGTAACAAATCCACAAATGTATTAACGTTAAAGGTTGAATAGACACTTCACTCTTTAGTAAAAATTGTATTCAGAAAGTAGTTTTCATAACAGCTGGTGACATGTCTTCCTGTTACGCTGAATGTTTTTGGATTACCTCACTTTATATTAGGATGAGACCAGAACTAGCGGAACCCTTGATCGCTTATTCCACGTAATGCTGTCATTTTTGAACGAAAACTTTCATCAGGATAAGGGCTACCATGGAATTCAAAATCCAGTTGTCTAACGTTCTTCAGTACTCCAGAGGCTACCATATCAGGAATAGCTCCCCACTCTGATGACTCTATGTCCATTTTGATGATATCAATGGTTTTCCCAGTGTGTCCAAGCATATCCATAATCTCCTTAAGATTCGTCATGTTCCATTTCCCTTGCTTTCCTGCAGGCTTGCCCCACAGTCCCAGATTGTGAAATATGATTTTTTTTCCTGATCGCTTATGATCTGGCTTTCCAATACTTGGATCAAAAGAATGTACATCATATCCATAAATCTTGGACATTTCGTCATCAAACTACCAGTCTCAAGCCACTCCAAAAGAGTAGACAATACATGGTAAGGAGGGTCTATACTCCGTATCGTTACAGACGTCCCATCCTCCGTCGTCCACTTTCCCAATCCGGACCACATTCTTACAGTGTACTTGTGATGACATCAGTAGCCTATTATACAACGTAGCCAAAGGTTTGAGCGGTAGAGTTTTGATAATGTCCGGTCGGTACACTTCGAGCGGACCAATTATCGACATTTCTCGCATCATGTAAAGAGAATAGCAACCGGTTCTTCTCCAGTTCCCCTTAAACAAACACTGAACATTTCTTTCAAAGTGGAATGTTCTGAAGCCATCTGAGTACAGTGCCCGTAAGACCTGAAGGTGCTTCACGTACACAGACGCCTTGCTGTTAGCACTGATCCCGTGGAAGGTTACCAACAGTTGCCGCACGTTCTTCAGTAGATCTTTTGTTAACATCCAAGACAATAACTGGACCTCGTCTCCCCCTATGTCGATCGTCATGTAATCAATATCACCATTTGACTTCAGCGTTGAAACTAAAGAAGTGTCTTCGGTCACAGGAGAGTTTTGTGCAGCTACCATTGCACTTTTCGACAAATTGGTTCTCATGAACCTACCAAACAATAAAATCCTCCTTAAAGTTTTCGCCGCATTGAATTATATTTTTCAAAATTAAGTCTATTCACGTTAAAAAAAGGATTAACTGTTTAAACCCTAAATTGTAGAGGAAGTGATGTTGTTTTGTGCTTAGGCGATAAAAGTTGTCAGCAAAAATGGAGTCAGGCAGCATGTGATAATAACGAACAATATTTACCCGTTAAGGACCTCACCAAGGTACGAATCCCTCGGTCACCATGGAGGAGTTTTCGATGACCACTGTTGTCCAGTACGACTTTGTTAAGACTGTCTCGGACACAGGGTTTGTCGATCATACAGTAGTGTCGTGGGGGCACTGTGATCATCTTCCCTTGGCAAAACAACACCCTATTAATACATAACTTATTTGTATACTTTTATGGATGAAAGAGTATGTACGTACCAGACAACTCACCATATCACTTCTTGGCACATTCTCCAATCAAGACAAAAATACGTTTGTTGCTTATATAATTTGATCAATAGTTCCAATCCAATAAGAAAATAGTTTACGGAAACCATTTTAACTTTATAAAAGAATTGATGCAGTTTGTGGAGGATCGAATGATGTTCCATGAACCTTTTTTCGCAAACAAAGGCAGATTGCATTTCTCCAAAAGTGATGTTCTGGTTTATTGACTTTTTGATTATAGCAAAGGAAACTTTCATGCAGAAAATCGATTTCCGCCAAAACAAAACGTGAAAAGATGTCCGACAAACGACCAAGGTATACAACATGTGTCAGATAAAATACCTAGAGTATTTGCATGTGTCAGCCCAACGACGACGGGTATACAATGTGTAGACATCAAGCGTATAATCATTTTATCTTACATTGGTTCATTATATGTTTTGAAACTACAATAATGTAGATTACAAAGATCGCAACATCATTTTCGAAATCGAAGTCCCAATCTCAATTTAGATTCGTTTGATAAATTTATACCTGTATCTCAATTATTTTTATAACATAATAGTAGCATTCACTTTTAAAACGAAATATGTGTTAAACAGTAATGTAATCTGCAGGGCTGCTCGTCTATATTCCTCAGTCAGACATGTGCATAAATTTATTCATGAATATTAGATGGTTTAATCCTTAATATGCTCCACAATATAACATGTTCTAACGTATTTCACTCTTTTGAGGCATATTTTAGTAAACAATATGTAGTCATATACATAAAATAATAGAATTGTTTGTTATCTAGATATGAAAAGAGGAGATTCAAAATTAAAGCGATCGAGAAAAGGCAAGAACGAACTTGTGTAATGACGAGATAGAAGGAATGCCTCACATTTCATTGTCAAGCCTTTTGAAGGTCATTGGCCCACTATCTATTCGGGTCGTATTGGGCGTCTGGTCGAAAACATGGATGTAGCAGTAAGTGGGGATCCTGAACAGAGACAGCTCCTCCTCCTCCGTTTGATTTGAGACGGACATTCTGATTGGCTATCTATGACAAACGGATATTTTAATTGGTTATCTGTCGTAAACAAAATATGACTGGTTACTTATCAGGTCTTATTAAGATGCTGTATTTCACCACGTCAACTTTTTATAGTAAACACTGCTTGACCATCAATTTATATAAAATTGAACACGGCAGTGTGTGATCGCTGTTGATTTATGACATTTACTGTACTTTCGGTTAAGCTGCAAGTCTTAAAATAACCACACGGTAGGTTTACGCGAGCTTACGTATTTTAAACACAGTCTCTACCGATTACATGTATAGTTTTATTTAGTTTTCATAATCCATATTTTACCCTAAACATTTAATATAGCATCGCGTTATGTATACAAGTATGAAATGTGCATCCCCTTTCCGTCATTGTATATTTTGATGATACGGTAAGGCGTTTAATTTCTATTTTACTACATTTGCAATACTATAACTTAGACTAATGTTTGTACCACACCTCACATACAAGTGTGTGCACATCATGAATATACGATATTGTAAAACTCACAAACTCACAATTACTTAACATACTTACTAAAACATACAGTAAGAAAACAGTAGATACATATGCAAGACCACACACTTGTGTTTTTCTAACGAATCAGAAAGCACGAGTGTATTGCGCGGACGAATATATTCACGAGTGCGCGGAGCGCACGAGTTAATATATACGTCCGCGCAATAAATGAGTGCTTTCTGGTTCGTTAGAAAAATACCAAGTGTGTGGTCTTGCTTTTATCACATACCTTCCGTATTTGGTAGAGATCGATACAAAGATTTCGCGCATGTGCAATACGTTGTATTTCATGCTCTGAAAATTGCTTGTATTACTATAACAAGATTCAACAGGTATGTGATAAATGTATTTATTACTATTAAAGCACACGAGGTACACACACAGATGATACATAATATAATGTTGAGGGCAACACTGGATAATCTAGTACTCGCGTTTGCTTGGTATCGTTGAAATTGGCGGAGTTTAGCGAGAAAAAATAGTAGCTATACAATTAGGCGATTTAGCGACGTGTTATAGTGATGTACTTATGCTAGTCCTGATGTTGTACTCATGTGGTGACACCCGTATAAATAATGTAATAATGTAGAAACGGGGATCGTTAAAAATTGCACAAAACAGTCACAAATAATGCACTAGAAACAATATGTGTATTGTCATTGTACCATTAAGTTCTAAGTTGGAGCAAAATCAGAAAAAGCGGAAGACCTTTGGCATCACCTTAGCGAACACCAACATGTATCAATCAATTATAAACCATGGTGGATATGTTGATGACCACACAAAACAATTAAACGTGTTACGCAAATCTACACTAGCCCACCAATGCTCGCGTGAGGTTTCGTTCGTATCCTGTCCGTAGTTTCTAAGAAGAAGAAAAAGGCGAAAAACTACGGAAACCACGTGGCGGGAGAAAACTGAGAAGATTAAAAAGGAGAACAATAGTATTAAGAAACTTCGTTTGCTTTCGGGACTTGAGCATGATGAAATCTCAATGATGATTATTCTTTTGCAGCTTTTATACCATGGGTTTCTTGTTGATAATTAATACAACCTTGGGGATACAAAACGACAAATCAAATTACTTTTAGCATACATTCCTTGTTAAATCCTTGTAATCAAGTACTAATCTAATTTTTGAAATTCATATCATAAAGGGGATGAAATGCAATTTGTCAGTGGATATTCAACAATGTTTTAACGGTTTTAATCCTCGCTACAAGTAAACAATCGAAGACTAGTTCAGATATGCGTACGACTTTAACTAGGACAATACCGGAGGTTAAATGACGATTGGATGAAATCATTATAGTAATTACACTCCAGGAAAAAGCCAAGTCGGCAAGAGTGGTGAAATTAAATATTGTGTTGAGATAATCATCCAGTTCTTGCCAAAATCCGAGAAAAGTTGAACACGCCGTAGTCAGTATTTCGGTATATATTAATTGATTACTTTTTTGCACTTCACGGATCTTAGTTTATGAAATAGTCAATGTTTCCGTTTATTGCAGCTCATGTGCAGTTGTGTTTTCAGTTTTCGATTTTCAATTGTTTTCTTTATATTATCAGTGTTTTTTTATTTTGCCAGGTTGCAAGTTGTGCCTATGGTGTATTGGTCATTGGAATCTTTTGGGTTACGGAGGCGCTCCCCCTGGCGGTAACCTCACTACTACCGGTATTGATATTCCCTATCCTTGGCGTCATACCAGTGACACAAATATGTGCAAGTTATTTCAAAGTAAGTAAAACTATATTTTATATACTTTGTAACATGTAAATACCAAATGTAATGAAACCCTAATATATATGTTTTTGTGTAATTCGGACCTGTGAAATCCAACATATTTCGTTCAGATAAAATTCATTGCAATGGCTCTTGGCGAGAGCCGATCGCGAGCGGCTTATTAATTCTGTCCAGAGAACGAAATGACGGTCCCACTTCCGTTCCGGGTGCGTGCGCATAAATCAGTCTTGCATGCTTCCGCTATATAGTTTCTTTAGCGTAAATAGAAAGTAGAATCTCTGACACTCACCTGTGGGTTACATAAAGTCTTCTGATACTCTTCTCCAAATAATAATCCATACTTTAAATAATTGCTGAAAACAAAATATTTATCTCCGGTGGATTCTACGAGTATTACGCGTGTGAAACACATGATTCGAGAAAACACATGTAAAGACTGTCGAGCATTGACGCTGTCTGTAGGAGGAAGAAGTAAATATATATACTTATAACCGTATGAGTGATGAAGTTTAACCTCTATTTTGATGTTTCAAACGGGAACGTAATATGATATGACATATCGTGCTTAGGTTGATAACGGCACGGACTTAGATAACTAATATAATTCCGTGATAACGGTAATGGCTCCGAGACGAGATAATAGGTGAACCGTGTATGCTAATCAAACATTTCTGTAACACAGCATGCTTTTTCTGGTGTATTTACTTATGAAATGTAACAATTTAAGAACATGACACAATTGCCGCTGTTGTTTGACAATAATTCGCGCCGTGTCAAAATAGTATCCAATCAGGTGTAAGGGAAATAACTCTTATTTTGGTAAAGTCGCATTGAGAAATATAATTCCAATATATTCCAAGAACATTTGTGAGGTTTTTTATATTCAATGACAGTAAATAAAGTCACTACATATATTAATAATTATGATTAATATGAATAAAAAATAAATAAAATAAAAAGAGTACAATGTCTCTTTTCTCCATGCATGTGTTCCCACTACTGTTAATTATCCTTCATTTCACAAGCACAACATGCAACTATTCTTTATTATCTATTCACCGATTGCCATTCTGCACGTAAATGCTCATGTCACATCATTGGAGAATGCTAATTAATGAAAATAACAATAATGCGTCATACTTAAAGAGGGTGAAAAAAGAGGAGAGGGCGAAATGTTTTTAAGGTATCATTTAAGAGGAGATTGATTTTGGAAATACAAAAGGCAACAAGATTTTCAATTAGCAGAATACAGAACACATATCTGAGGTATAATAGTAGATATTGATGCTCAACGTGTTACTGAAGCAATTACATTTTAAGTGGTGAGCGGCTTTAATGTCACACTGACATAATTCTAGTTATTTTTCATTTAAAGATATAGAGAGAATAGAGATTGTACAGATTATGCATTTCATCAATTGATTATCAAACATTTTCCGATAAATGTTCTCTTAATAAATAAATAATAACGCAAACTTAGATAGTCAACAATCAAGAATACACGGAAATATTTTGTAATTAACATTATGCTGTTTTTGTTTTGCAGTATTAATTGGACTGTTAACATTAAGGCAATGCTGTTTTGTCTTTGTATATAATGTTTTGACATCTTGACCACCAGGAGACGCTTATGCTGTTTATCGGGAGCCTCATTGTAGCGGTGGCGGTTGAGAAATGGAACCTGCACAGAAGAATTGCTCTAAGGGCATTAACCCTGGTGGGACCGGAACCAAAAATGTACCTAAAAGTTGTTATGACCTATTATATATTTCTTCATCATTTCTATGCCTAATACTGCATCGGCATTAAAATATACATATACTATTCGGCTCACGCTCTATTTCATCTCATCTAAACCAAATCATTAATCTCAAAAGCGGAAAAACACGAGCGGACATCTAAAGAAAACATCATGCAAAAATGCATTATATTGGATGCATTTGAGATTAGTTATTCACTATTGCATATCGAATATGTTGTGTATCCTCTGGTAGGTTTATTGTGGGAATCATGCTGACTTTTCTTTCATACACGTAATGGGATGCGTTTGAAATACTTAATTTCTCTGTTAAATAACATGCTTTCTATCTGCTGGAAAGATGATGCTTTTAATCATGCTATGGTGTTAGTTCCTGTCATACTTATAATGAGATGTGCTTGAGATCCTTTATCCTATATCAAATAATGTTCTGTTTTTCCTGTGGTAGATTGATCTTTTTAATCATGCAGCAGTGTTGTTTTCTGTCATACTTATAATGAGATGTGCTTGAGATCCTTTATCCTATATCAAATAATGTGCCGTTTGTCCTGTGGTAGGTTGATGCTCTGTCATACTTATAATGAGGTGTGCTCGAGATCCTTTATCCTATATCAAATAATGTGCCGTTTGTCCTGTGGAAGGTTGATGCTCTGTCATACTTATAATGAGGTGTGCTCGAGATCCTTTATCCTATATCAAATAATGTGCCGTTTGTCCTGTGGAAGGTTGATGCTTTGTCATACTTATAATGAGATGTGCTTGAAATCCTTTATCCTATATCAAATAATGTGCCGTTTGTCCTGTGGAAGGTTGATGCTCTGTCATACATATAATGGATAGTGTTTGAAATCATTTATTCCCTATTCATAATTAGCTGTTTTTCTTGTGGTAAGGTTGATGTTGGGGATCATGCTGCCCTGTTGGTTCCTTTCTATGTGGATGAGTAACACCGCCACAACTGCCATGATGGTCCCCATCCTCAACGCCATATTGTCTCAGATCAAAGAATCAAGAAAGGTGGGTAAGTAACAAAAATAATGTTCATACCTGTTTGGTGCAAAAAAGGTTACCAGTAGAAAGGAAAAAATGTAAAATCCATTTTATTGGCAGATCAGTAATATATGTTTGCATGATTGGACTTCTTGATGAAAAAACGTAGCCCAACGTGATTTTGTATTTCTTTGAGTTGCTTTTCTGTTGTCTTTTAGTTTTCTATAAATTGTCATACGAATATATTCAGAATTAGTCTCACATATTCTGCACCATTTATCTAGCTATGAACAGTTCTGGGAGCAGTGTTACAGCTTGTTACAATATCATTTGAAGATGGTGGTGACATGTTTACTGTTTAAACAATGTTGATCAGTCACTGATGAAAAACTTAATCAACGTAATGATACGAATTATTAAGTTATACATTCAATTATCGAATCCAGTATTCATATTCACCATACATAGAAATTGTGGAAAACATACTATCTAGATTAACAAGTATCCACCATACACAACTTTCAATTTATGTTTTAAAAGATTGTAAAGTGAAAATCATTTTGACATTATGACCTTCCTTCAAATTAAACTATATCTGCATTTTGGAAACGTTAGTGTAAATGGTAATATAATAACAGTTCTATGTTCGATCGACATGTAAGATTAAAAAGATTATTTCTTAGACGTGAATGGCGACGGAGCAGAACATAAAGCAATGACTGACAAAAAGGAAAGTTCAACAGAATTACAGACTCTGAATGCACCGGAAACTGAAAGGTATACAGTAAGGGAGGTTATTATATGACTGGTGCTAATTCCCAGCCCTGATTGGAGGAGTGACGTCACGTGACGAGTCTGTAAATATGTTACAGACCTCGTTCTATAAATAGAAAAGTGTTACAGACCTCGACCTAGAAATAGAAAAGTGTTACAGACCGCTACTAAAAATAGGCCGAGGTAATTCCCCAGCCAGTCTGTAAATCTGTTACCATTCACAATACTGAATTCAAATACAAATGAATTATCTCATCAACTTCTTAACTATGGTAATATTGATGATGTCAATTGTTCAAATAATATTTACTTGAAATTAAATATCACATGAATTGAATCTGAAATTCAATTTTTGTGTATGTTATTTTGTTTTTGAAGTCCTATACTCTGTGACTCCAAAATGGTCCATGCCATCCATATGCTTATGCCACGACAAATTATTAATCTTATCGTAAAATGTCATATAATAAAACAATTGTGGACTTCAGTTTTGGTCTATCCCTGATTTACGGACCTGGTCTGAACAATATTCACAGAGGCCGAAGGCCTGGTCTGAATAATATTCACAGAGGCCGAAGCCCAGGTCCGTAAATCAGGGATAGACCGAAACTGAAGTCCATAATTGTATAATATCGAACTACATTTCTTATTAAACTCGCTAATCGTTAATTAGACAGATTTTGATAATGGTATACTTAACAGCTGTCATTTCACATGCAAAATTGTAGTATTAAAGAATTAAAATGCATACTTTAAACATTTATTATGGTAATAAACACAGTTCTATTGAAATATATCCCATGATACGTGGTCTTAAGTTGTGCTTACATTTAACCCTTTCACCCCTAAGTAACTTTAGTAAACTCCTCCATGCATTGATCTGGACGAGTCTATTATTGTCTGCAGTGTTGAAAGGGTTAAGTGTATTTTCTGCTCTATCATTTAATCAATATAATCTATTAAATGGAGATTGTAATTTGATATGGATTTTATTTATAATTTTAGCGAGTTGAACCATGTATCAAAGTCTAGCAAAGCCTGTCGACTTGACAATGAAGATGATGACTTCGTCAATCTCGCCAAGACGTTTGCTATGTGTATAGCGTTTTCTGCAAATATAGGAGGGATTGCTACTCTCACTGGTACTCCTCCCAATATTGTCTTCAAGGGTCTGGCAGACGAGTAAGTTTGTCCCCTGTGCTCGTATGAACATGTGTAATCTGCATTACAAAAGAGTGTTTGTAGGCTAGATATATGTCAGTTTGTCAAATTATAATATTATGTATCATCTATCCTGTATGTGATAGACATCCCTCTTAACAGACAAGCTGAATTAAAACAATTTGTACTACAGCGTCTCAAATACACTACAGTAAACAAGAGTGAAATATACCATAGCGTCTAAACACAAGGACAAAGTATAAAACTGACCCATAAGGACAAAATATTCCACAGCGTTAACACGCTAGAACAAAATATATCACAAGAATTTCTCAAAATAATAGCTTACGGGATTCATGCCGTTGTATTTTGTAACAGGCTTTTCGAGGACTATGGTATAGATTCAGGCATCACGTTCGCTAACTGGTTGGTGGTGGGCTTCCCGCTCTCTGTCATATGTCTTGCCTGTTGCTGGCTTTGGCTCCAGGTTTATTATGAGGGAAAAGGGTAAGTATATGATGGATTAATAACATTTTCTGGAAATACTTTTCTTGATCTTAGTATTTCAAAAGTAACGCTTAGTGACAATTGATTATTTAATATCTCCATTATGATTCATTCCATTATTTCGTACTCTTGCTCGGTTCAAAAGTATTATAGTTGTAAATACGTTGTTATAAAAAGAATAATAAAACGTCATTTCGTGACACAGAACAAAAAATGTCTATCATGCACTTTTTTCTATCATATTTACATATCTAAGTAACTAAATGTTTTGAAGGTTTTTCCTTTGTAAGAAGAGGAAGAATTCCTACGACCTAGTGAAATACCATCTCCTGAAGGAATACAATAGCTTAGGACCTATGACGTAAGTCGGTAGTGCGTTATGAAACACTTGCAATACGTACCTGTTGCCTAGTAATGTATCTTAATAGTAAATAAAACAAAAGATATATGCAATTTGAGACGTTAAAAATGATCTGTACAACGTTAAATGATAAAGTTAAGATTGCATTATCTGAGATAGTAGTACCTCACAATAGCGAATGACTGAACTCACTGCTATCAAACTTCTTTAAGAATAAATTTTAATTACAGATTTGCAGAGGCCATTGTGCTAATTGATTTTGTAATGCTGGCAGTGCTGTGGGTCACACGGAATCCACAAATTGTTCCTGGCTGGGGAGCTTTGTTCCCTGCAAAGTAGGAAAAAATGTAGATAGTGTATTTCATTAATTGCTGTATGAAAAAAATATGTAAATTTCAGTATGTCAATTGGTATGTGAGACAGAGGTTCCAAAAAGAGCGACCGTCGTACATCATAGTCATCTGAGTCGATATTTATTTAATTCTAAAATTTAAAAAGAAAACGAACCTAATTAAGGGTCACTGTCCCACTGCACTGTGGTTTTCCCTATATACAGTAAAATCCCCTTAATTTCCGTTTGGAAATAACTATAGCAAAGTTTGGCGAGGAAAATTCTGTTGACCAAGTAGTTCAACCAGTTAGTGCAATATTATAAGAATCTGAAGTCTGTTGTTCGAATCCCGGTCTAGCGTAGATAACTTTTTTACATTCAGAGCTATATGTATATGTTGTTGTTTATATTTTGATTAGTTAATCATTATTGTTTCTAATAAAAGTCCCGCAATGTATGGTTTTCGTTTTAGAAATGATTTATTAAAGCCTTAGTCATTCCGGAAAAAAACAGTTTCCAATACTTACCGGTAGTTAAAAATTTCGCATTGGGACGAACATTCTCTGGTCGGACGTTGACATGTTTATATCCGGGCCAACAAGCGTGATGACACATCAAGTGTTTGAAACTGAACATTTCCTGGAGATTGAAAAACTAAATATTAAAAAAAAAAAAGCCATACTGATGCAATTGTATAAGTTAAAAGATAAAAATGCCCGTTTTTGTTTGCTCCCAGAAGTTAATAATCATATTGAAAGGAATGGAAAGGAATTCATGAAAGAAAATCTGTAATTTCGAATATATTTTTTGTTTGGAGAATGTTTATAGAAGAAATTACTTTTTTTTTATTATTACCTTGCAATAAAATATATGTTAACAGTACAACGCACGATAAGATGGTAGGTCCTGTCTCTAATGATATCTAATTACTGTTACATATATGGTTAACATGATAAGATGGTAGGTCCTGTCACTACTGATATCTAATTACTGTTACAGATATGGTTAACATGATCAGATGGTAGCTCCTCTACTGATATCTAACTACTGTTACAGATATGGGTAACATGATAAGATGGTAGGTCCTGTCTCTACTGATATCTAATTACTGTTACATATATGGGTAACATGATAAGATGGTAGCTCCTGTCTCTACTGATATCTAACTACTGTTACAGATATGGTTAACATGATAAGATGGTAGCTCCTGTCTCTACTGATATCTAATTACTGTTACAGATATGGGTAACATGATAAGATGGTAGCTCCTGTCTCTACTGATATCTAACTACTGTTACAGATATGGTTAACATGATAAGATGGTAGCTCCTGTCTCTACTGATATCTAATTACTGTTACAGATATGGGTAACATGATAAGATGGTAGCTCCTGTCTCTACTGATATCTAACTACTGTTACAGATATGGTTAACATGATAAGATGGTAGCTCCTGTCTCTACTGATATCTAATTACTGTTACAGATATGGGTAACATGATAAGATGGTAGCTCCTGTCTCTACTGATATCTAATTACTGTTACAGATATGGTTAACATGATAAGATGGTAGCTCCTGTCTCTACTGATATCTAATTACTGTTACAGATATGGTTAACATGATAAGATGGTAGCTCCTGTCTCTACTGATATCTAATTACTGTTACAGATATGGTTAACATGATAAGATGGTAGCTCCTGTCTCTACTGATATCTAATTACTGTTACAGATATGGTTAACATGATAAGATGGTAGCTCCTGTCTCTACTGATATCTAATTACTGTTACAGATATGGTTAACATGATAAGATGGTAGCTCCTGTCTCTACTGATATCTAATTACTGTTACAGATATGGTTAACATGATAAGATGGTAGCTCCTGTCTCTACTGATATCTAATTACTGTTACAGATATGGTTAACATGATAAGATGGTAGCTCCTGTCTCTACTGATATCTAATTACTGTTACAGATATGGTTAACATGATAAGATGGTAGCTCCTGTCTCTACTGATATCTAATTACTGTTACAGATATGGTTAACATGATAAGATGGTAGCTCCTGTCTCTACTGATATCTAATTACTGTTACAGATATGGTTAACATGATAAGATGGTAGCTCCTGTCTCTACTGATATCTAATTACTGTTACAGATATGGTTAACATGATAAGATGGTAGCTCCTGTCTCTACTGATATCTAATTACTGTTACAGATATGGTTAACATGATAAGATGGTAGCTCCTGTCTCTACTGATATCTAATTACTGTTACAGATATGGTTAACATGATAAGATGGTAGCTCCTGTCTCTACTGATATCTAATTACTGTTACAGATATGGTTAACATGATAAGATGGTAGCTCCTGTCTCTACTGATATCTAATTACTGTTACAGATATGGTTAACATGATAAGATGGTAGCTCCTGTCTCTACTGATATCTAATTACTGTTACAGATATGGTTAACATGATAAGATGGTAGCTCCTGTCTCTACTGATATCTAATTACTGTTACAGATATGGTTAACATGATAAGATGGTAGCTCCTGTCTCTACTGATATCTAATTACTGTTACAGATATGGTTAACATGATAAGATGGTAGCTCCTGTCTCTACTGATATCTAATTACTGTTACAGATATGGTTAACATGATAAGATGGTAGCTCCTGTCTCTACTGATATCTAATTACTGTTACAGATATGGTTAACATGATAAGATGGTAGCTCCTGTCTCTACTGATATCTAATTACTGTTACAGATATGGTTAACATGATAAGATGGTAGCTCCTGTCTCTACTGATATCTAATTACTGTTACAGATATGGTTAACATGATAAGATGGTAGCTCCTGTCTCTACTGATATCTAATTACTGTTACAGATATGGTTAACATGATAAGATGGTAGCTCCTGTCTCTACTGATATCTAATTACTGTTACAGATATGGTTAACATGATAAGATGGTAGCTCCTGTCTCTACTGATATCTAATTACTGTTACAGATATGGTTAACATGATAAGATGGTAGCTCCTGTCTCTACTGATATCTAATTACTGTTACAGATATGGTTAACATGATAAGATGGTAGCTCCTGTCTCTACTGATATCTAATTACTGTTACAGATATGGTTAACATGATAAGATGGTAGCTCCTGTCTCTACTGATATCTAATTACTGTTACAGATATGGTTAACATGATAAGATGGTAGCTCCTGTCTCTACTGATATCTAATTACTGTTACAGATATGGTTAACATGATAAGATGGTAGCTCCTGTCTCTACTGATATCTAATTACTGTTACAGATATGGTTAACATGATAAGATGGTAGCTCCTGTCTCTACTGATATCTAATTACTGTTACAGATATGGTTAACATGATAAGATGGTAGCTCCTGTCTCTACTGATATCTAATTACTGTTACAGATATGGTTAACATGATAAGATGGTAGCTCCTGTCTCTACTGATATCTAATTACTGTTACAGATATGGTTAACATGATAAGATGGTAGCTCCTGTCTCTACTGATATCTAATTACTGTTACAGATATGGTTAACATGATAAGATGGTAGCTCCTGTCTCTACTGATATCTAATTACTGTTACAGATATGGTTAACATGATAAGATGGTAGCTCCTGTCTCTACTGATATCTAATTACTGTTACAGATATGGTTAACATGATAAGATGGTAGCTCCTGTCTCTACTGATATCTAATTACTGTTACAGATATGGTTAACATGATAAGATGGTAGCTCCTGTCTCTACTGATATCTAATTACTGTTACAGATATGGTTAACATGATAAGATGGTAGCTCCTGTCTCTACTGATATCTAATTACTGTTACAGATATGGTTAACATGATAAGATGGTAGCTCCTGTCTCTACTGATATCTAATTACTGTTACAGATATGGTTAACATGATAAGATGGTAGCTCCTGTCTCTACTGATATCTAATTACTGTTACAGATATGGTTAACATGATAAGATGGTAGCTCCTGTCTCTACTGATATCTAATTACTGTTACAGATATGGTTAACATGATAAGATGGTAGCTCCTGTCTCTACTGATATCTAATTACTGTTACAGATATGGTTAACATGATAAGATGGTAGCTCCTGTCTCTACTGATATCTAATTACTGTTACAGATATGGTTAACATGATAAGATGGTAGCTCCTGTCTCTACTGATATCTAATTACTGTTACAGATATGGTTAACATGATAAGATGGTAGCTCCTGTCTCTACTGATATCTAATTACTGTTACAGATATGGTTAACATGATAAGATGGTAGCTCCTGTCTCTACTGATATCTAATTACTGTTACAGATATGGTTAACATGATAAGATGGTAGCTCCTGTCTCTACTGATATCTAATTACTGTTACAGATATGGTTAACATGATAAGATGGTAGCTCCTGTCTCTACTGATATCTAATTACTGTTACAGATATGGTTAACATGATAAGATGGTAGCTCCTGTCTCTACTGATATCTAATTACTGTTACAGATATGGTTAACATGATAAGATGGTAGCTCCTGTCTCTACTGATATCTAATTACTGTTACAGATATGGTTAACATGATAAGATGGTAGCTCCTGTCTCTACTGATATCTAATTACTGTTACAGATATGGTTAACATGATAAGATGGTAGCTCCTGTCTCTACTGATATCTAATTACTGTTACAGATATGGTTAACATGATAAGATGGTAGCTCCTGTCTCTACTGATATCTAATTACTGTTACAGATATGGTTAACATGATAAGATGGTAGCTCCTGTCTCTACTGATATCTAATTACTGTTACAGATATGGTTAACATGATAAGATGGTAGCTCCTGTCTCTACTGATATCTAATTACTGTTACAGATATGGTTAACATGATAAGATGGTAGCTCCTATCTCTACTGATATCTAACTCCTACTACAGATATGGTTAACATGATAAGATGGTAGCTCCTGTCTCTACTGATATCTAACTACCGTTACAGATATGGTTAACATGATAAGATAGTAGCTCCTATCTCTACTGATATCTAACTACCGTTACAGATTTGGTTAACATGATAAGATGGTAGGTCCTGTCTCTACTGGTATCTAACTACTGTTACAGATATGGATAACATGATAAGATGGTAGGTCCTGTCTCTACTGATATCTAATTACTGTTACAGATACGTTGGTGATTCGTGTCCAGCCGTACTGATGGCTGTTTTGTTGTTTGTGCTTCCTTCCAAACCACCAAGCTTTCGACAGATCTTCCGAAAATCTCCTGATGAAGAAAGTAATAATTGTAGAATAATTTATGAGAGTTTCTGTTTTAGTGTATAAGGATGGTAAATGAAATTATTACCATGTTTTGTGAGACAGTTTGTACGACTCCATGACACCTGTTCAACTATGCATGTTTATACAATAGTAAATGAAAATCACACATTCAAATAACAATTAATATTACAATATTTAATATAAATTTGAATGTCTATTTTAACAACATGTAGTAAGCTATACTGCTATTGTGATCTCAGGTTTATATATTAATAACAGAATATTTTTAAGACGTATGAAAACATTGTCGTTGTTAAAGAAGAAACAATCACCTCAAATTTCCAGCAATACGTTGTGTTTGTGTAAGCTATTCCGTCTTTGCGTAATGCAGAGTTATCTTCTCTTGGGAGCAGGTATTGATTGTTACGTCACTTGTTTGTGAGAGTAACGTCATCAAGTTTTGAGAACACGACGTAATTTTCTCGCACATACAAACCAATGACGCAACAATCGATACCTGCTCCCAAGAGAAGATAACTCTGCAATACGCACAGACGGAATACCTGTATCAATGTTTAATTTTCACTTATTATAGACGACATCGATGCAGATTCTGAGGACGACAACAGCGACAGTGACGAATATATTCCCCTGCTTGATTGGGAAACAGTCAACCGGAAACTTGCCTGGGGGGTCATCATACTAATGGGTGGGGGGTTCGCACTCGCGGACGCATGTAGTGTAAGTAATATGTAAAATGTTTCAGGCTGTGTAACATCTTCCCAAAACAACTATAATGTAAGCATTAGTATACACCGTACATGTATACATATATTAAACTCAAATAAACAAATAGAATTGTTAAATGATTAAAATGACATTTTAAAAAGTAGCAAATATATTATGTAAATGAAAATTTGAAAGTGTAAGAATTTAAATTTGCAAAATAAATCTTCGATAGACATTCTTTTTTATTTATAAGTGTTAAACGGCCCTGTATAAGTATGTCAATCAAAATTAGAAATTATGCCGTAAAAGATATTTTTATGTAGAAATTTTGATTTAGAAGGAATTAAGCTTGAAATGATAATGAATGAAACAAGATACTTAGATCGATATTATCACAATAGCGTCATCGTCATATAAAAGTTTGTATTCAGTGAACTGTAGTTACTACGAGAAATTGATTCTGCTAATTAATTGAAAAACAAAGAGACTCTCGGGCTTCTGGAACAAACAAATAATTGTTTCTATAAATAAGTAAAGTGAAGTATGTACATACCTAGAACATACTGTGTCTATTGTAGGCGTCTGGGTTGTCGGGGTGGGTCAGTGACCAGCTGATCGTACTAAATGTGATGCCACCCTGGGCAATCGCCCTTGTGCTAGCCTTCATAATAGCAGCGGCCACCAACATCACCAGTAACGCGGCCACAGCTACACTGTTCCTACCCATCGTCGGTAACCTGGTACGTGTGTTTCCTGTGTACAGGGAAATTTATTTTCGATGCAGTTCATTTTTTTCGCTTTCCATAATGAGGGCGAATATATCATCACAGCGAATATTATTAAAAACATAATATACTGAATTAAATGTGGAGGGCGGAATTAATAATGGCCGAAAATTGATCTCATGGGCGAAGGGCGAAAGTTTGACTGAAATGTACAGATAAAACCCTGTCCAATCCGACACACTGTAAGACCAGCATACATGTCACTGGACGGATAAGAGAAAACCAGTTTTTTTCTCTCCAATTATTTTAGTAAAGCGTTTTCAGCTGAAATTAAGTTCAGTTTGTTGTTTGTATATACATATATGCAGGTTCCTGATATCACAGGCTGTTGAAAGATATAAAAAGTTAGGGAGGTAATTATTCAGAAAACTAGTTTCATAAATAAGTTACCATACAATATTTATAATATATTGAATATTATTTACTTGACTTGTACCTCTACGGACCAAGATACTGCACGGAATAAAGCCACATAGATAATGAAAGTAAATTCGAGATATATTTGTCTCGAATTTACTTTATATTTACAAATGACCAATTGTGAAAGACCAACAGTATTTATATGTTAAAACTGTTCATATTATCTCTCGTTACTTCATTCGTTTACATTATCATTGTTCTCTTTTACAGGCAATACAACTTGAGATAAATCCTCTATACTTCATGATACCATGCGCTTTAGCAGCCTCGTTTGCGTTTCTGCTTCCTGTTGGGACCCCGCCGAATGCGATCGTCTTCGCCACAGGATATCTAAATATTAAGGATATGGTATGTCATATAAGTTAACAATTACTGTTTATGAAATATTTTAGCAAGTTTAATAGAAAACAAAACGAGTACATCTTCATATAAACAATTTATAAGAAATGTCATTAACAAAGTTGTCACGTGTCTTTCGAGCGTAGCTCAAATTACCAATGTATACCACCATAAGTGATTTATGTTTATATAACTATTTCATTTTTCTACATGTTTGATGTTTCAACGACTATATTTAAGTTGTGTGTTGTAAAAATTACAATGTTTTATGTTTTTATGACAATGTGTTCTGTTTCTATGACGATACCTTGATTATATGACGATGCTTTGTGTTTATATGGCATTGTGTAATGTGTACATGACAAAGTTTTGTGTATCTATGAAAATGTTTTGTATTTCTCTGATAATGTGTTATGTTTCTAAGACAATGTTTTGTGGTTCTGTGACAATGTTTTGTGTTTCTGTGGCAATGTTTTATGTATCTATGACAATGTTTTATGTTTCTATGACAATGTTTTGTATTTCTATGACAATGTTTTATGTTTCTAAGACAATGTTTTGTGGTTCTGTGACAATGTGTTGTGTTTCTGTGACAATGTTTTATGTATCTATGTCAATGTTTTATGTTTCTATGACAATATTTTATGAATCTGTGACAATGTTTTTTGTTTCTATGACAATGTTTTGTGTTTCTATGACAATGTTTTATGAATCTGCGACAATGTTTTATGTTTCTATGACAATGTTTTGTGTTTCTATGACAATGTTTTATGAATCTGTGGCAATGTTTTATGTTTCTATGACAATGTTTTATGAATCTGTGGCAATGTTTTATGTTTCTATGACAATATTTTATGAATCTGTGACAATGTTTTACGTTTCTATGACAATGTTTTATGAATCCGTGACAATGTTTTATGTTTCTATGACAACGTTTTATGAATATGTGACAATGTTTTATGTTTCTATGACGATGTTTTATGAATATGTGACAATGTTTTACGTTTCTATGACAATGTTTTATGTTTCTATGACAATGTTTTATGAATCTGTTACAATGTTTTATATTTCATTGGCTAAGTTACATGTTTCTACGACTATTGATTTGCCTTTTTATATTGGTCCGTCCTAAATTCCACAGCTGATTGGCGGTTCTGTGATCAATATCATCAGTATCCTGTTCGTTTCACTGGCCATGAACGCCTGGGTCAACCAATTTTACGGACTGTATATTCTACCCGACGCTTTCCGGAAAGACCCGATACAGATGACTACTCTTACCTCGATAAACAGTTCATATACCTACAACGCAAGCTGTGTGTGCTAAAAAGGGAGATAATATTGTAATATATATGCATCGGTTACTATAAAAATGGTTGTAAAAAACATATAAGCAATCTACAATGCTAACTAATTGCTAGTTGCATAAGATACTGTACCTACAAGGCAAGCTGTGTTTGTTGAAAAGAGATAATATTGTAATATATGTATCGACTATTTTAAATAGGGTTGTTTGAAACCTATAAGAACTCTTCAACGCCAAATAATTGCTAGTTGCATTAGATTGGTATTGCAGTATTTTATATATAGTTTTTAGCAGTGCATTGATATTTGATATATGTACCTGGTTGTTTATATGCGACAAAGGACCGGTAATACGTATGTCTAAAATATGCTGTTCAATTTTTATTGTAATGATTGTTTTTGTTTACATAGGTCAAGGGTATGTAAGGTTACATGGGACGGATCTTTTAGTTTAACAAAGGAGCAAAGTATAATGGTGAAAAAAGAGTTTTATGTTAAATTCGATATGAATTTCCATCCCCGTTGACACAAACAGGTTTAAATTCAGTTCTTGTTCCGCAATTAAGCAGCAGTTAAATGATTAAATCATTTTTTAAAGATATTTGGAATAAGGTAAACTGGTTCATCGTGGTTCAAAGAATATGATAATAAATGATATCAAAATTTTACTTTTTACACAAACAATGTACGTATTAAACGTGTCGCAACGTTTCAAGACCGCCTTGTCCCTTTGTCAAGCTATGACTCATAACTATATGGAGTCATAGTTTGACAAAGGAACCAGTCGGTCTTGAAACGTTACGACACGTTTTATACGTACATTGTTTGTTAAAAAAAAGTAAAACTTCGGTATCACATATTTCCAAACTGATAAATATCATTGAAGATGATAAAAAGGTTTTTGTCATATGTGTATGTGAATTTACAGTTTATATCTGATTTATGTGTGGATTAAAAACCTATATGGGACCAAACCGATCTAGACAACGCAGAGGATGAGATTGCCTGATGGTGCTTAACACCCTTGTCCCAATGGCACAGAGAGGTTTGTATATCATGGTCATGTGACATATCAGGGCAAAGCTTAATGTCGTGACTAGCGCACTTGGCAAAATATGCCAGTTTTTTATATACCCGCTATTCGTTCTGTTTTTGTCATTTTCCATCATCACTTCGTGAAAGTTTCTGTAAGCGTAGTGTTATGCGATCAACGGATCATGTATGTAGTTGAGGTAGTGATAATTGTTTAGTGGAATGCTTGATGTGCGCACGTAGCAGTGCAGCATTATTTCCATATAATGTGACGTTATTTGAGCAAATAAATATTTTTTGTTCCATTTTGCACATGTAATTCCTTGGGCGTTTTTTAATTTAATAATTCAGCTGATATTAAAAAACGTTTATACATGTAAAACAAGTTCAATGTCATTAAATATTTATAGTATCATATAGTCTTATCAAGGAATACTATCCCATTTGGTTCGTTAACCCTTTCACCCCTATGTAACTTAAGTAAACTCTTCCATGCATTGATCGGGATGAGTCTATTACGGTCTACAGTGGTGAAAGGGTTAATACACTATCTGTCTATGTGTTTCCTAGGTTGTTAATGAAGTTGGTCTCGCCATTGCTTCTATACTGTGTCTATTTTTCTTCCGAATATTATTTGTTCATCTGTTCATATAAATGTCAGGTTGTTACGTCTATGATAAGGCCAACACAATTGTTGTTGTTTAAGGTTTCGTTACTTAATGTTATAGGGAAATAGCAATGAATATCTTCATTACCAAAATATAGTATTTTAAAAAAAAGTCAGTAGAGCAAGAGCCAGGTTGTTATTGTTTAAATTTTCCTCTAGGTAAGTGGCAAATAATTATACGTGCAGCAGATAGGGAACTAACAACACATTTTATTTGACCAGAATGTATTTTGAATATAACTACCTTTCCATAATACTTTTCATCTATGATAAACATATCAGGATATAAATGTTGTTATGTTTAATCATAATATTGATTTTAATCACAATCGTCTTTCATTGTTGAGTTTTATATTTTAAAGGAAACATTATCTACACTTTTATTTATCATGGCATTTTTAGTATACTGACTGGTGAATGCCTAATGTATTTTATGTTATATGACTCCAGGTGTATTGAGAGATTGTATTTCGACGTGTCTATATTAATATTTTATTCCAGAGGATTTAAATAATTTTCTGCAGCTGTGTATTGGTATCTTAAAAAGCGGTGTTTAATCTACATGAGGAAATACTCATAAAACTGTGATCCAAACACAATTTATAAGATAAAGATAGACATTTGTTTTTTTTTAAAGAAAGTTATTCTGTAAACTGTTATGTTGAATTAGAAGCATATCCATAACAACATATACATCATACCATAATGTAGTACTTCTCATTGATAATTTTATCAGACAATTTGTCATTGGCTACACACATATATGTTGTGTCTGTGAGTGATGTTACAAGCATATATTCCGTCTTTGCGTATTGCAGAGTTATCTTCTCTTGAGAGCAGGTATTGATTGTTACGTCATTGGTTTGTGTGGGAAAATTACGTCGTTTTCTTAAAAATTGATCACGTTACTCTAAAAAACAAATGACTTAACAATCAATACCTGCGCTCAAGAGAAGATAACTCTGCAATACGCAAAGACGGAATATACATGGTGCAATTTGTCATATAAAACTCAAACGAAGTATACGGATATTGTGTAATTGTTAATTGTTAAATATAAATATATTCATAAAAATATCATGTTTTGTTCTTTTTTTATTATTATCATAAATAAAATGCATATCAAATGGTTCCTGCCACGGTATGTACACCAGGTTTCCAACAGACATGCAAGATGCTACCAGTACAAATCACAGATATCATCATAGTAATGGAAAGACATACAATTTTGATACCATTGAGCATTGTACATTATATCATGTAGAAAAACATTTTTTTAATTTTTTTTTTCCATTTACCAAAATTGAATCCAATATTGGTCTTCTTGTTTTATCGCTTTATTTCCTGAGAATAAATACCTCTACTTCTAAACATCAAAAGCAACACTTCAACTAAAGAAAAGCACCACGACCCTCGATTTAAATGGAAGAAAAATGCACACATGCTGCACCCGTCAACGTGTCTCTTGCTTAACCCAGAAATACATAACAAGCATTATGTTCACTAAAGTAACTGTTAGAAATGTGAAGTAGTGAAGCACCTATTTAATAATATTGTTGTTCAACGCAGTTACCGGACAAAGTAAACATTTTACAGCACATATGGTCAGTTCGTCCCTTTATAAGACTCATCAGTAGCATTTCTGGTCAAAAGAGTGAAAATACAAACCTAAATTACCGGAACATAAGAAGAAATATAACGAAAAAGAAAAATGTCTAAAAAAGCCTGTACGTTACAAATCTATAACTTTTGGCTAATACAGTATTTCATTCATACATTTGTATTTGCTTTAAAAAGTGTCGAAATTGAACTTGAGCTACAAGAATCCAGGAGATTATTCACAACTAGCTATAAGTTTAGGATGCAGTGAACATATATTTTGACACAGTAATCTGATAGCCAGAAGAAAGGGTCACGGTGACCATAGCAATTCTTCGATTCTTACTATTTCTCTCAATTAAGAGAACCCACTGTGGTGAGTGGTTGATAAATCAGAAAATAAAATAGGAAAGAAAAACATGTGAACACTATTCCATCATTACTACCGGGGAAAGGTCATGACGATTGGCATCCTCTCAGTTTTATTCGTCAAGATAGAAACTGTTACTAGATGTCTTATTCCGTCTTTGCGTATTGCAGAGTTATCTTCTCTTGGGAGCAGGTATTGATTGCTACGTCTCTTGTTTGTGAGAGTAACGTCATCAATTTTTGAGAAAACGACGTAATTTTCTCGCACAAACCAATGACGTAACAATCAATACCTGCTCCCAAGAGAAGATAACTCTGCAATACGCAAAGACGGAATAGTTGTATGGGGTTATATTCAATCTGAAAAGAACTAGTGTTAACAAACAGTGACAAAATCAGAAAATAAGTTCAATCTGAAGAGGATGGCACGCAGAGGAGATAACAAAACAGAAATAAAATCAGGGACACCTGGGCCCATATTCATGGACTGTTCTCATGCTCAAGCATGGATTCTGTGCTCAAACCCACTTTCTTGTAACTTGCGTAATTAATGTGAAACGATCAAAATATCAAATGTGAAAATTGAAAACAATTAATTAATTACTCAATTTTATTCTAAATCATTGCCACCGGCCAAATATAATCGACCTAGGACTTATTATTATTCAGGGGATGTAATTTAAAGGTTTCCAACACAATTGACTCCTTTGACGTTTAAAATGGGTGAAGGTCTTTCATTCAATAAACGTAATAGCACCTTTCATCCGAGCAAGCTACTGGCCAAATATATCATCACCCAAGAATTTAGGTTATTAAGGCGAAGTTGCTTTACAAGTTTTCAACACATTTGGCCCATGATATTGAATTCAGGGAACATTTGAACTAGCTTGATAACTCTTAATCAGATCATGCTACTGGCCCAATATCATCACCCTTAGCTTTTTAGTTAAAAGTGGTTTAGAGTGTTTTTTTAACACATTTCAACCCTATGCTCATATATAAAGGAAGCTACCAAACTGACATCATGATTCTCAGCCTCTCAATGCTTCAGAAGAAGTTTTTGACATAATTGACCACAATGACATTGTATAAAGGCAAATGTCATCATTTAAACAAATGACATAGCCCTTCATCCCAGCATGCTACTGGCAAAATATCATGATAGTAAGCCTTTAAGCCCTTCAGGGGTCAATTTGAGTGTTTTTTTTTTTATATATCTCACTCCCGTGACCTTGAATATAGGCCAGGGTCACTTTCATTTGCAAACTTAGATGGGCTCCATTCCCGAAACCTACCAGTATAATACTGTATCATGACTCTAGGCATTTCTATTCTTCAGAAGTTGTAAGAACATTTTAACAAATTTTAACCCAGAGACCTTGAATATATAGGCCAAGGTCATTTTAATTTGCAGTTTGTTGGGCTCTTATCCTGAGAAGCCCCCGGCCTCATATCATGACTGAAGGCATTTTCTGTTCTTTTCGTTAACACCTGTGACTTAGAATATGAGTCAAGATCAATTTTATTCACAAATTTTGCTCGGCTCCCTCCCTGGAAACTATCGGCCTAATAGCATAATTGTCTTTTGGTCTTCAGAAGTCGTTGTAAATAAGTTTTTGACATATTTGACCCCTGTGATATTGATATTTATAAAAGGTTACTCATTTAAAAAACTCCAGCCTATAGGTCAAGGTCACTTTTATTTGTGCACTTTGTTACACTCTATCTTGGTAAGCTTCCAGCCTAATGTGATTCCAGGCCTGCCGATTCTTCCGAAGCAGTTATTTGGAGTTCATGACATATTTGACCTTGAAAAGAAATCAAGGTAATTTTTCGTTGCATGTTTTGTTGCTCTCCATTCCAGAAAGCTATGAGCCTTTGGCTAGGTGAGCTAATAATCCAATGATAATTAGTTGAATAAGCCAACTGTTCCTTACCAAAATATACCGGTTATGTAGTGAAATAGCAAAGGATGCCTTACAAAAACTACTGGTATCTAATGAAATAGCCTAGGCCAATCATTCCTACTAAACACTGCATGGTTTTCGAAAGTTCGACAAAAAAATGCCTGACTTGATTAGCATGAATTGGATTATTATCGTCATTACTTTTCATTGTGGAGTTCCTCATCAAATCCACATAAGAATGTAGATTGATTCTTGCAATAAATAAGCAAAGACATTATTATTTCGCATGACTTTATTTGACAAAACATGATATTTATAATAACTGTGAGATGAAAAAAATATATAGTTTACCCATTCATGATGCATCATAAAAATTTTAATAAAATAAAATGACATTCAGAAGAACAACTCGACAGATTGTACAATTGTAAGAATATGTTTTCATTATAATATCTTCAGACATCAAAGTTGTCAAATTAAGTAGGATCCCTCAGTTATGAAAATGCCCCAAATCAAGAAAACATCATTTGATTAACAAGAGAGCTAGTCGTGTAATTAATTTCACTTTTTAAATAAATTTGATATTAAAATTGCATCTTTATTTTATATGTATGATGATTAATGGATATAGTTTTAAAAAAGGCCCTGAAAACCTCAGGTTATTTCAAGTTCCAGGCAAAATGAGTTTGTTCAGATAACTCTTAAAGGCAATATTGAATGCAATTTTTCTGATTTTTATGTTTTTATGTGGACATGACAAGTACATATAATTTTGTAATACTGTACATAGAAGAAATGATTTTTCGATTGATTTTATGTTCTAATCCTTACATTTCTGAACAAGTATAAAAGAGCACATCCATGCTGAGGGAGTGGATACTGATCATGTAAGACAAGAAATTGAAACCCTATGTAAGCTCGACCTCAGAGGCCCCTGTAATCTCTTGTTAATCTTCCAATCATAAATGCCAAGAAAATAAAAGAAATGTAAGGATTAGGACAGAAAACTAATCAAGAACAATAGTTACACCGTAGATTTTAGATTTTTAGATTTTGTCTGGAACAATCTCATCTGCTAAAACCATCTAAATGTCATTTTGAAGGAGACTCGGTGAAAATTTTGATTCAACATTTCATTTATAAAAGAAGATTTTCTGATCACACTGTCCCACGAACCAAACCTTGTATACAAGAAGAAAATAAATAAGAAAAAAGTGGTAAAAACATGATGAATGATTATGATCTCCTTTTAAACTAATTAGGATCAAATCCATGCCAAAGTTGTGATTAGTCAATTTAACAAGACATTCATGAAATATTTTAATTTGTGAAATTTTTATTTATTTTCGATAAAGAAGTTGATAACCATCATGCAGAGCTAAAAATTAATTTTAAATACCACTTGTCAATTGGGAAAGTTATTTCCAGTTTTTACTAGTCCATTGGCAAATTCCGCTAACCCAATATAGTCAACAAGATAAGCAATATCAATTTCTGACTAGTGACAGTAGTAAAATGCACTCTGTTCTAAATAATACTTCTGGGTAAGATTTCAAGTGCTCATGATTTTGTTATAATTAAAACCGAAAATATAACATACCATGTACAAATAGCAAGTTTCTGATGTCTACTACAATATAGTATTTTTCAAATAGGTCCGTTAAAAAATCCATATTAAAATAGAATGACTGTGTCATTAGTGAGATGGAATTTAAAACAATTTTGTTATTTTTAAATAAGTTATTTAAAATGATATTTAAATATACTTCAATATGGAAAATTTACATAACATGTAAACAATGTAAAGCACACATAGGAACTCTTCAACAGAAATCCTCAGGGGAAGAAGGGACTAGATAATTTCTAGAATGGTAACAGTATAGGTCCTCTATCACAAACCCATTGGTCGGACACTATTTAAACATCAGTAAATACAGTGATCTGTTAACAAAAGATGCTTAATAAAATTTGAAGCAGGCTGTGGGGTGGGTATTATCTGTTGACTGAAATTTGAAATATTTGTTTGTAATTATTGAGACATTAAGATAATTATGTCAGAAACAGGTGTTTTTCAACTTTAACCACCTCAGCATCAATGCTGCTACTGATGTTGTCAAGATGAGAGCAAGAAGTCTGCTAGTAAAAATCCTTCGGGATTGGGTAACCTGATATTAGTTCTGCTAATGATGTTTATGTCAAGATGAAAATCAGAAGTCGTCTAATAGTAAAAATCCTTCTGGATTGGGTAACCTGGTATTAGTTCTGCTAAAGATGTTTACGTCAAGATGAAAGCCAGAAGTCTGCTTGTAAGAATCCTTCTGGATGCGGTATTTGCCTGTTGTGTTTGAGGCAAGTTTCCAGAAAAGTCTCTAGTCGAGTCAGTGGCCCGCCACCTGAGGCTGTGGCCACTTGTTTTAATTTTGGTAAATATTCCTTGATCAACATATATAAGAGCTTTTGGAACTGTTTCCCGTATCTGGTGTACAAAGCATTCCCAGCTACATGTAACATGTCGTAAATCATGGTCGCTGTAATGTCCGGATGAGGATAGATGTTCATCACACGTGAAAGCCAAATCCATGCATTTTCTACTCCGTATGGGTGACTGTTGGTTGTTCCCCGGAGTGGAGGGGGTGGTGCTACGAGGATGGCTGCATATAACCGCATCATACCGGACATCCTCTTAAGGAACTGGTCATGTTTTTCCACACTTCCGTCAGAGTTGTATCTGTAGCCCAACGCTCTGTAATATAAACAATGATAGTCATATATTTTCACTAGCTTCAACATAAAATCTACCAGCCCTGGGCGTCGGGCAAATGGAATGGTACATCCCTGAGTTGTAAATGTTTTGGCATGTATTTTTTTTAAATCAGTAAGTAGCATCTTCATTTCCTTGTCATTAAATTTACATTTAAAAAAAAAAAAAAATAAGAAAGGGTTGGGGGTTGAATTTGAGAGTCAATTTTTTGTTTCGCGACATCTACTACACATCATAATATTTTTTTCTAGGGACACCTATACAAATGCTAACAATTATTCAAATATAGAAGTGCTTCCCTGTCCTGCTTCCTCTCCTATTGACTAATAAACCAGAAACGATTTGAAAGATTTTCTTCAGGTTTGTAAATACAGACTGTAAGCCAAAAACTAATATAACTAAAGCTTGATTCTAAGCTTCAGTTTCGTTGTTTTCGGGCTCAAGGACGAGGGTACGTACTTGCGGTAGTCCTCCGACGACTGGCCCTCCTGTCTAGGGATGTAGTAAGGGACAGTGTAGGGACAGGCGCTGTGGAGGTGACCCAGGAACAGCTCTCCAATGTCAGGATGTTCCATCCACAGACCAACGAATACCATCGCTGTGGCAAACGCTGTCTCGTGTTTAGACGACACCTGCTCGTCTCCTTTTTTCTAGAAATAAATCGTCAATTTGTAGGAAACGAAAGAAACTAAATGTGTTTAAAATGATCTTTTTAATTAACACAACTTTATTAGAAAAAAGCAAAGAATAACTGAAGAACTGATGTAGAATGATTTATATATACCTTTACTGAAAAAGTGGGGATTTGGAATCTATTATGCAGAAGTTTGAATCTATTATGCAGATATTGACATGTAAGCTACAGAGTAAGGAATTTCAGCTGCAGAGTTGATTTTTCAACCATTTATCAATATGTTAATGTATATATTTTTAAGGAATTCAACCTCACATTGGTAAATAATGTCATCAAATGGTACCCAAAGTAGACAGAGCTCAATAATAGCTTTGTAAAATAAATCATAATACCTGGTATGTCAAAGGTTAAAGCATCTTGAAATTACCTATGTTAGAGGTCACATGTCAAAGGTCAAATCACATTAAAATTACCTATGTCAGCGGTCACATGTCAAAGGTCAAATCACATTGAAATTACCTATGTCAGCGGTCACATGTCAAATCACATGTCAAATCACATTGAAATTACCTATATCAGCGGTCACATGTCAAAGGTCAAATCACATTGAAATTACCTATGTCAGAGGTCACCAAATGCAAAACAAACACTTAGGCTTCTACACCAAAAATATCTTGCCATGGTGTAAACTTATACATTTACCTTGAATAAAATAAAGCCTCCATGACAATGAGCTAGAAAATCTACAGTTAAATTTAAAAAAGAAACAAGGATGGCCTGTTGACTTACCACAAACATCTTGGCGGCTAGATATTTACAGAAGGTAAGAGCCTGTGGGTGGACACCTACACTGACTCGTTTACTGCCCACCTCCACAGACTTGCCTGACATCAAGTCCAGCAGACGCTTCAGCTTCTCTCGCATGTGTTCACCGCTGACTTGAGATATGGCATTAATCGGTGTATTGACAGCCTTTTGCAAGTCAAATTTCAACTTTTTGGACTGCAATAAGAATACATGATTATATTTAGTTAAGCACAAGAAAATGTATCTGAAATACATTTTTGAAATAAATAAAACCTACTTAAAACATTTATAACACAACAAGAAACTAAAGGAACTCCCCTATACTTAGAGTTATACAAAGAATCCCATAAACAGTAGCATAATGATAACCTCTGACGATTCACTATTGTGGAAACACCGCTGTCATTATAAACAATGTAGATCAGTCATCATAACAATTGATGAAAAATAGTTTAACATTTACAACAGATCAATCAACATGACAACTCCTTCTTGACTGTCATATACATGCATACAGTGAGGCACAAATCTCTTACAAATTACTTTTCTACTTTCCATTCACAGCAAAATTAATTCAAGCTTAGCAAAGCACAACCATACAAAACAAGAAATTACATGTAAATTAGAAATTTTGGTTAATCTGATTATCATTAAATTTAACGTAATTTATAGAAAACTCCACAGGTTCTGATAATGATTTGAAAAGCATGGTTTCCTTATTGTATTCAGCTGAAATTAAAACATACCTCTGGGCTTGATAAAGCTTTTATGAGCTCCTCTGTCTTTTTCATATTGTCTTGAAGTTTGGTGTACCATTGGAACGCGTCTATATCTACACACTGAATTTCATGCTCTGCCACTATAACATAAATATATATATTTATCATTTTTTTTATAAATATTGGTCTCATAAGTAGCAAGGCAACACAAGTGATACAAATCCCCTCGCGTTCACACATTGTGACATATGTAATAGGAAATGAAGTCGCTAGAGCGATGACAAAGTTTTTATTTACAAAAGTAGTAATTGACCTTGACCTTCAACGTAGAAACCCGTAACGCAAGCTTGTTCAAGGCATTGTCATACCAAACACTTGTATGAAGTTTCATGAAATCCTGTAGAGAGTAAAGTCGCTCGAGCGATGACAAGGTTTCTCTAAAAATAGTAACAGTGACCTTCACCTTCAACGTAGAAACCCGAAACGCAAACTTGTTCAAGACATTGTCATACCAAACACTTGTATGAAGTTTCATGAAATCCTGTAGAGAGTAAAGTCGCGCGAGCGATGACAAGGTTTCTCTAAAAATAGTAAGAGTGACCTTCACCTTCAACGTAGAAACCCGAAATGCGAACTTGTTCAAGGCATTGCCATACAAAACACTTGTATGAAGTTTCATGAAATTATGTTGAGGAATGAAGTCGCTAGAGCGATGACAATGTTTCTCTAAAAATAGTAACAGTGACCTTCACCTTCAACGTAGAAACCCGAAATGCGAACTTGTTCAAGGCATTGCCATACAAAACACTTGTATGAAGTTTCATGAAATTATGTTGAGGAATGAAGTCGCTAGACCAATAACACAGAGTGTAACATACAAACATACGTATAGGCAGAATCCTGTATCCCCTTGAAGTTTTGTTGCAAGGGGATAATAAACAGTATGATCTAATATGGGCACTGATCTGAACAAGCTAATGTTCATAGGATATATTTTGAAAACAACAAATGTGAAAATGGTTCCACAAATATTCCTTATACATTGTATCAGTGAATCATCAACGTCCTGTAGCATCCTTATTCCCAAACTTCAGATATCGGTAATATTAATATAGAATGTGGTATGGAAATTGTTACTGAAATAAAGTTAGCTATTTTGTTAAGAGGATACAGGCCTGTAATAACAAGAGGCCCCCAAATGCCCAAAAGATTTTACTTAATGAGCTGAACTCATTCATCCCTGAAGACACATTTGACCTCTTCCAATTCGAAGATTGGAATAGTTCATTATGAAGTTTCAGGGGTGAATGAATTAAAATACGTTTATACTTGAATCTTGGAACCTGTATGGTTACCTTAGCCGATGATGTAGCAGGACTCTTGGAGTCGGAGGAAATTCCCTATAAACGTGTCTGGGGTACTTACACTGTGTCGCTCCAGAGGCTTCAGTCACGGGCGAGATCCCGGGTGTCAAAGATGGATTGTTCTTGTCTGAAGACGAAGGTATCGGCGTAGAGGTAGCTACTGGGGCTGCTGCAGCAGCTGCTGCCTTGGCCTGAATGGTATTATTGATCGATTCTTTAGGGCATATAAACTTATCAAGGAAATACAAGATGGCTGCCTATCGGCCATTCTGTTTATCTGATTAGTCTCAAAATACAGTTTGGATTTCGCCTTGTTTGTACTGTTTTGAGGGTGATTTGATCATTACAGCAAATATTAGTAAACAATATAATAAACATAATAATTAAATGTTAACAGAGAAATTAAAACTGGGCGAATATGGATTTTTACCGGCAAAGGGGCGCAGGTTTGACTGGGCTAAATTTCCTGGTATGGACTGCAAGTATTCTGCCGTGTGTAAAATATGCTATTTAACAGGAGACCATTAAATATTAATTTATTAATTTCATTTTTTGAACTTTGACACTAAAGAACAGTGAGAGTGCTTTGGAAATTCACAGCTTTCGCATTGTGTAATTGGTCTTTGTAAACATTTTTCCAAGCTGAGTTTACTTATCTACGGGTGTTGCCCAACACTTACCTGTTCCTCCAGTCTTTTAGCTTCGGCAGCTGCTGCCGCCTTTGCTTTCTCCTCCTCTATCTTCCTGTTTTCCTCTTCTGTAAATAAGTTTATATTATCATCATTTATTAAACTATTGGAAAATTATTCTATCAACCTATCAAAGTTACTATTTGAACCTAAAAGTCAGAACGGTGCTTCGGTAGAATGTTTTGGAATCTCAACAATCAGAATTTGTTTGATCAGAGTACATGAAAATTCAAAGAACATTACTTTTATGGGCAGACTAGAGAATTCTATTTAAGAATACAGAACTTCACTGACCATCCACTAATGGACGTTGAATCTCATTTTATCCTTGTATAGAGTACATAAAAAAGTCAATCTCTCAAACTCCAATTGCTGTCGAAGGTTATTTTGATCTGGTTGCTTCTTCAGAACATTTAGTCTGTTGTAAGGGTTATCCATAATGTATAGTAATAGTACTTGGGAGGCACCTTACCTTATATATTATGGGTGATACGATTAAATCAGATCTGCCTACCATTCTTTAAATTTAATCATTTTTTAGATTTTATGGGTAGTGCGTCTTCAATAGTACGATCTGCTCTAGCTGTTGTTCACCAGATTGTACTGGATCGTAACTCTTGGCTAGCGCAGATGGAGTGGTGGGGTCTCTGAAAAAGTGCCTCCCATCCCTCCCCTACGGTTAAGTGATATATGATAATGCCTGTAGTAATTCTAACTTATTTACAGCCATCATCTGAACCTTGTAATTTTTTCTAATTTTCATCTTTCTGCTACATGTTTACTAATGATGAGACCATGTGATGATTGTCGTCTCTCACGGCTCTGACTTTTCACAACCAATCAAATTGTAAGTGATTTATACCACCTGTACGAGAAGTGGAAGCTTTCTGAAACCATTGTAGCAGTCATATATTTCCCAAATCTAGGGACACGACCTTAAATGAACTTAGCTGTTGATAGGACATTAAACCCTGATAACCAACGAACCCCATCCTTTAGAAAAAGAACCAGCCAGGAAAATCCCACCCAAAGTTGTTGTATTTTTCTCTCGAACAAAGAAATTAGCTAGCTGATTTCCCCCCCCCTCCAATCCCCTAATCTTAAGGGGGAAACTATTAGCACTACTAGTTGATTATTTTTCCCCTTGGTATTGGTTTATAGAGAGGGAGGGGGTAACTAATTGCATCATGGAAACCTTGTACAAGGTCAGTTCAATCTTAATTACCTATTCTCTTTGATATAGCTTCATAAGCATTCAGTGCAAACATGACGGCTTCCTTCAGTTTGTCCGGAAGGCTTTGGTTTATCTCCCCTGATTGTAACTCATGGATGATATGGTTTTCCAGGTCGGTGGTGGTCTTGCGAATTCTCTCCACTATCAGTTTACACTGGTCAGCCAGCTTGTTCTGTACTGCACATTTGGGCTGTATAGTTAGTATTCGGCTCTGGACAGTGTTAAGGTCTGTTAACAGTTGTTTCAATTTGTCTTCTCTCTCCTTCTTTTCTTGTTCTCTGTGAACCAAAATGCAAAGAAAACAACGTTGAAAAAAAAAAGAAAAAAGTTGGATGATTCATCAATTTGTTAATATTTAGTCGAATCAATTCAAATGTCTTTGGTCAGAAAATCTTGCTTAAATCGTCACAGAATACTGAATTTTACCAATGCTAAGCCCATGCCTGGTAATAAGCCCATCCAATCTTTTCCCACTTTTCATACTTAGGTTGGGTAACCAGTAATAAGCACAACCCGCACCCTTCCAAACCTTCCTTTTCTTCAAGATAGTCTTCATCAATAGAAAGAATTTAATTACTACAAAAAAGTTACATTGTTTTTATTACATACATCCTTAGATACATGTTAGGTTTACCAACAGGATGCGTCAGTACACTTTCCTGCGATGAAAGAACTAGGTCTTTTAACCACTGCAGTACTGTTGTCAAAGCATTGAGAACTTATTAGCATCAGTAACATCATCAGACTTGTGGCTGGCTGATATACTGTTTAGAGCATTAGTTTATTACGTCTGGATTAATCGAGGTTTTAAACCATTATGCAATACAAAAACCCAAAACAAAAAGTCATTGCTAAAATAGCAGCGAAAAAGCCTCACACCATCTAGACGAGGCAGAATTCCCCTGTATTGATCCACCATTATCTGATAATATCATGTATTTAATATATGTCAGCATGTATTGTAGTTGCATTCTGTTTTATTTTAAATAAGAATTTTAAAATAATCCAAATAACCTTTTACGTCCATTATCAGGTTTACATTATACAGAAGATATTTCCCTCTTTGAATGCATCGTATTTCTGGTATTACTGAATAATAAAAAAAAATCCATCAACTTACTTTTTTCTAATTTCCTCTTGAATCTTCTCATGTTTTCTTTCTAGCATCTGAAAGTTGGAAAAAAAATATTATGATCATATCTTACGACATCTTGTCATATTTTCCAATCTTAATTTCATGGCAATTACACTCCACCTTTTCTTGCTTATAGAGTTTACGTGTCACAGATGATTCCCTTTTATCTTAATTTTTGGGTAGGTTGGGGTGGGGGTAATTTTTCTCTGTGTAGATGTAGATAACCATGTATTTCATTCTCTGACAAAGTAACTTTAATACCTGAGCATGTTTTCTGTGGTCCTCCTGCATCTTCAGCTGAACTTTTGCAGATTCATCTGTCCTGGGAAAAATAACCAATAACCATAAATAGAATATTAAACAATTATGGACCTTTGTTGAGGTGCATACCTGGTATGTGGTTTTATGGACCTGAGAAAGTGATATTGACCGAGAGAAAGTCGAGGACAATATCATTTTTCACGTCCATATAAGGCATATCTACCAAAATAAAAATCCCTAGTTGTTATATCAGATATGAAAATCGTCAAAAGAAAAGTGCTGTATGTGGCAGAGAACATTGTAAATGTACAACTGAAGTGACATCATAAATAATAATAATAATTAATTATATAAAGTGAATATTAACCTGATGTTTCTACAAATATAAAAGTCAATTTACAAAAAAATGCTGAGCTCCACATGAATATGATACAACAAATGAAGATGTAGGAAAAAATAACAAAAAATCTAATATACATGTACAGTATTTAATATTACAGTATAACAGTATTATACATGTACAGTATTTAATAATACAGTACAACGGTATTATACATGTACAGTATTTAATAATACAGTATAACGGTATTATACATGTACAGTATTTAATAATACAGTACAACGGTATTCAACCGTATGAATATATGCTGTTCGATTACAGTGCAACTGAGAGATCAATAGCATGTTATAATTGGCAAAACCTAGTTTGATCAAATCAATGGGTGTCTGGTAATATAGCAAGGCCAGGTTCTAACATCCCAGTTTTACACACATATACGAAGTATACAAATATCCTAAATACCCTTTTTTATGCTGTAGAAGTGTGGTCTCTTGTACTTGAAGGGCTTTCATTATGTTTTTGCGTTCCAGATCCTTCAGTTGTTTCTGTGCTTTCTGTTGCAGCTCACTACTGTGTGTTTGAAACTCTTTAGCCTTTTTCTCCAATGCATCCTGAAAAAATGTGTTAGAATGTTAAATGTTACAGTAAATATCAGGAGAAATCAGATTCCATATATGGAAAGTGGTGGTGCTAGTGTCGAACATGCAATTCTATGTTAAGCAAACACTGTAGTATACTGATCCCTTAGACATCTACGATACTTGTTTAACTTTAACTTATTCGGGACAGAAACACAAAATACACAAGATCTTTCGTATTACAAATTCAAAACTTTTTTTCTGAACCATACAAATGACTATGTATGCTTTGGGTGGTCTTGTTTGGCCTTTAAATCCATCAAAATTCCAAACCTTTAACTGAACTTTCAAATTTAATACTTCCAAAAACCATACTTTGTCTACAATTAAAGCAACTTCATGCTCTATCAAAATCATGGACATTCTAATGAAATTGTATAAGTCTTAAAACAGAGTCTGAGATTGAGTATGCCGAGGTCAAAATGGTATCCAGTAGAATGTGGAAGGAAGGATTTTTATAAGTCTCCAATTCTTTTTATATACCATTTATTTTCATTGACATGTTCCCCAGTTCACAAGGGGTATATACCATGTTAAATTTTCAGAAGAGAAAGGAGAAAGCGGCAGTTGGTACATGCCAGGTGCTAGCCGCACCCCATCCAACCAGTCTGTTTATATTAATAATAATTATATTTCCAGGTTCTCATATTCCGCTTTATCACAACCTAATTTGTAGATCATCTCAAAGCGGTTCACAAATTATTGTCTGTGGTTATAGGGCCTTGGCAGCCAGCCGATATGTTTCTCAACTCCCATTTTGGTGCTCACAGCTAGCATTCAACAATTCCAGCACTGCCCAACCACAAACTCATTTACAGCCGAGTAGACTCGAACAAGCAGAGTTAAGTATCTTGTGCTGTTAATATTAATAATAATAATAATAATTCTAAGTTCTCATATTCCGCTTTATCACAACCGAATTTGTAGATCATCTCAAAGCGGTTCACAAATTATTGTCTGTGGTTATAGGGCCTTTGCAGCCAGCCAATATCTTTTTCCAACTCCCTGGAGAGCATACAGCCGGAGCTGCCATTTCGGCACTAACAGCTAGCATTCAACAATTCTAGCACTGCCCAACCACGTACCCATTTACAGCTGAGTAGATTGGAACAAGCAGAGTTAAGTATCTTGTTCAAAGATACAACACAGTGCCATGATGTGACTTGAACCCGCAACCCTTCGGTCAAGAGCCCGGTGTCCTACCACTAGACTACCATGCCTCTTATAATGATTAATATTACACATCACAAAAATTCACAGGCCACATATATAATCAGAAGTCTTTCCAGGGGTACAAATTAGGCTCACCTTGACCCTATTGTCATACTGGTGTTCATATTCCTTTATAGCCTTCACACTCCGAGCAAAGTCTGGAGACACTGCCAGGGCAGGCTTACAGGGCGAGGTCTTGATCCGGAGTTTCTCAAAATCCAGTGATCCAGAGTCCTCGCAACTGCTGTTTAGAGTTAACAATAAACCATGCCAGATTTCAAAAAGAGGGTAAGAAGATAAAGCTGAGAGTGCATGTTAAAAAGCTTTCAATTGAGATGAAAAAAAAATGACTCTTTCGGCTATCGTTTCTAAAGAATTAAGCGTCAACATTTTAGGTTGTCTGTCAACATTTTAGTTTGTCCTTGCTTGGTAACGAGTATGTGTCTTGCTGATGGTGCATTACCTGTCAAACTACAAACTGTCAAAAAGCAGTTTCACTGCAAGATAAAGGTATTAGGAAGTGTTTTTGAAACATATAATTTTACCTATTTCAAATTAAAGTGCTCTTTCTTTTGGTTTAAACATTTTGTAATTTTACAAATATGGATGCTGATTAGAAAGTGTCAAAAGCCCTACATTATCCTTATTGCTACCAGGGTATAAATGTATACAATAGCACTAATTAATTATTTCTAAATGTTTTGTAAAATTGCTATTGCCAATGAATGCTTCGGAGCCTGTTGGACTTTGTGATATATATATATATATATGAAACTATAGAAATATATGTAGTCTAGATCACCGGATTCAATTTCCAACAGATAAACTTGGAAAAAAAGTCCTCCAATATTTTGGCCCATGTAGGGACCAGGATACTTAGTACATTAATTATAATCTCCTTAACTTTGCTGTTCAATGTATACTCAGGCAGTGTCTCTCCCATATGACCTTATATGGTGTTAGGATGCTTATATTAACCCAATATAACCAGAGTGAGTTCTTTCAAGGGAAAATTATATCAAAAGTATGACAAAGTGGACCGGTGTGTCATCTATATATATAGTCGCTTGTTAAATAAATTGGCTACTACTGTATAGGAAATTTTCCCCTTTATCTATATCGTCAGAAAACTGCACAGACTAGTAAATTGTGGTCGGTGGTTCAACTATAGATCTAAGCACTTGGAAAAATGACCTTTTTTTCACCGATATGAAACAAAATTAAATCATACTCATCATAGGAAGATTCTTCAGATTTTTCTTGTTTTTCTTCATCTCCTTTTTCCTTCAGCTGCTGTTGGTTTTTGCGTTGATAATTTGGATTGATGTATCTATATTTGGACTCGTCGTGAAGATGTTTCAACTCCGGCGGGGAAGAACACTGATCTAAGAATTTCTGTAAAAGGGGAAAAAGATCATAAATATTTTCATATAAGAATCTATCATTTGCTATGAAAATTACAAATAAATGAGAAGTTAACAATTATGAGTTAACATGATACATATTGATTTATTTATTTTAAGAATTGCAGTACATATGCTCACAGAGTAGATTGATCCTGGCTCTGTGTAAAAAAATTGTCTTGTTTACATCAGAACATTGCTATATTTTCCAGTACATGTAGGAATAGATGTCTAAATATTCAGGTAATAATAATAAATATTAACAATAATTCGAGGTTTTTATATATCGCTTTATCACAACTTAGTTCGTAGGTCGTATCAAAGCGGTTCACAAATTATTATCTGTGGTTATGGGGCCTTTGCAGCCAGCCAATACCTTTCTGAACTCCCTGGGGAGCATACAACCGCAGCTGCCATTTTGGCGCTAACAGCTAGCACTCAACAATTTTAGCACTGCCAAACCACATACTCATTTACAGCTGAGTAGACTGGAACAAGCGGAGTAAAGTATCTTGCTCAAAGATACAACACAGTGCCGTGACGAGAGTCGAACCCGCAACCCTTCGGTCACGATCCCGGCGTCCTACCACTCGACTACCGTGTCCCCTAGCTATATAGCTAGGTAAAGAAACACTTTAGCTGACCTGAGAACAGTCACATTAATAAGTAATTAGTAAGATTTATTGCAATTTTTGTTACAATTTTACAGTGGTGTGTAATATACATGTGGCTGTTTTACTGCCTTGCGTTTTGATGCCAAATTGTTTCAATATAATTTTAGAAGTTTCTGGCTGTCGGACTAACATTTCCACCCGGAACTTTGCTTGTATTTTGTGTTCAGTGTTTCAATGATTTCACAATTTGAGGTTCTTCAGCATTTTTTGTCTCTGCATAAAAAAGTATGGAAAAATCCTATAAAAATTACACCTATAGCTAGAATTCGCTGAATATGGAGATTCATAGAGACATTACTTTTATGTACAGTTGGGAGCAAACTTTACTTGGTATCTAGTGCACTTCGTAGTGCACAAGGAGGTGCATTAGACAAAACATTGAAGTGCACTTCAGTTCACTTCAGTGTTAACTCCAGTGCACTACGATGTTAATTAACTACAGTGCACAACAATGGTAACTCCAGTGCACTACAGTGTTTACCAAAGTTTAAAAGACTTTTAAGTACATATTTCAATAGTTGTTTATAATGAAATGGGTTCCTTTGTGATATAAAAATTGAAAGCAAAAGGATAGAATTATTCAATTGAATATTTCATTATATTGAATCAACGATATACACATAATTTTTTGTTTTTTTGGTTACTTGAAATTTCAACTAAACATAATTATACATGTACGAAGAGAATTTGTACACTATCTCTGGTGATTACAGAAAATCTATAGATAGCTGTACTATTTCAGAGGGAAAATTTTATTATTATATTTATTATAGTTAAATTCACATCACATTTCATATCATTGTTGTTAAGTGTCAGGATGGGTGATTATATATACAGTAACTGTTATGTGATATGGATATAATTGTGGTAAGTTTTCCTATAATTTTATACTTTTTATGAAAGGTTTCTCTATAACACAACATCAATAGAGTAATTCATTTCTTTGTTTTATACAAACAAGTCAAGGAAAAATAAAATGCCAGAAAAATCTTATATCATGGCATTGCACTATATAGATAAAAGGTAAAGATTAAGCTTAAGGCAATGTATAATTTTCGTAAAACGTTATATCTTCAAACTATTCAACAGTTGATTGTGCTGGCAATTAGAATTAACTCATTAAAACAATATTTCCAATCGGGAAATATGATGGTGGTTGGATTCCATAGAAGACATATACCACTTTCAACAAGTTATTCCCCTTTATATCAATTTTGAATACATATCACCACAAAGTTTGGATAGGATGACACGGAATACCAACCATAGCTTTCAGATTCAATTGCAACTCAAACATCAAACAAGATTCTGAAAAATAAGTACCGACTTGCCCTAAAAAAAGTTCCAAAGTAACCAAGTTCCGAAAATAAAAGTGCCAAGGTAACCAACAGGTTGGGCACAACGGCGCATATGGGTAATAATCCTGCATTTGGGTAACATCTTTGTATGTTATGGTTGAATGCACTTCGAATCTACTTTCACTATCCTATATCAAAAATCAAAATTTTGTACTTCACTATCTTTATTAAAAATAGCTATTTATATGGTTATTATAAACAACTTTTGGTTGAACGTTTTTTCGTGTTTTGACATTTTCGTGATTTTAGATGTCCCGACTTTTCTAAGGCTTCAAAGGTCGTACTTTCAAAACCGAAAACTGTTCAACCTAAAGTTGTTTGTAATAACCAATAGATATGGCGATTTTCAATAACGTAAGTGAAGTACAAAATTTTGATTTTTTATATAGGATAGTGAAAGTAGATTCGAAGTGCGCATGCATTCAACCATAACATACAAAGATGTTACGTACCCAAATGCGGGATTATTACCCATATGCGCCGTTGTGCCCAACCTGACCAAGTGCCGAAAATATTAGTGCAGATGTGTCCAAGTACCGACTTCAGTAGGTGCCGAGGTGTCTATGATTCAATGATAGTAATATGATAATAATTCTAGTATATTTATAGATTTTTTTATCAGACTCTTCTCTAGCCGTTTACCTTTGTCACATGTCGACTTCGGTCGTAATTAAGTCGCCCCTTCGGTGTATTTTTTAGACATACAACAATATCACTGTTTCGTGAAGTCGACATATTGGTTCAGCGTGAGTTCTCCTTATTTATCAACATCTACCATTGGCTATAAGTTGCGATAAGCTCCATTCGTATTGCCTAGAGAAAACTGAATTGGCCAGGATTTGCAGTCAGTGATAATGGCATATCAGTCTTGTCACCAAAGCGCTTGTATAAATTCCGAAAGTAAATAATAAATTTTGAGCTTTTCTCTAACCCAGACTTTTAAAAAAAATACACGTGAGAGTTGTGAAAGTGAAAGAAGGAGATGGACAGACTGTACAATAAGGAATTTATAACGGCTGCCTGCTTGGGTGTAGGAGTTGGGTTCTTTATAGGATGGATCAGTCGTGGACGAGTCTTAGGAGGACGGTCCCCGTCGACCCAGCCATCCAGAAATGGGCAGGAGTCGTGCGATGTAAGTTGGAAACGTTGTGATATTTGAAGATGGGATGGAATCACAGGATGAAAGTTATGAAGGAAGTCACAGATATATGGTATTTGTAAATTGTACATTATGGTACATCTGCAGTCTGTTTAGATATGCTGTTATACAACTATAACTTGATATATACTGTGCAAAATTACAAACTGTATTAATATGGGCTGTTGGCCATGAAATACTCAATAAGATATCTTGAATCTTGATGATTTTTTCATGTAACCACATGTATAGTAGTCTGACGTTTAATCAATGTAACTATAAAAAGATGTACATAAAAAATAAGAGGGGTATTTTTTATGTGCAGATTGCTATAGTTATATTGAAGGTAGCTATGCCCAACTATTTTTTTTCAAACAAAAAGTAATTTATTTCTTGTCATTTTCTTAGAGACTACCATAACCTGATTACAAAACAGCAATCAGAACCATGTTATCTTCAAAATTAGATCTTTAAGAATTTCTTGAAATCGTGAAATTTCATTATTGTTTTTTAGCATTTTCCTGAAAACAACCAAAAAAGCGTACAAGGTCAATAACATGGTACATATGGGAGAATTCGTTTTCTCTTTTTTTACCACAATTTCAGAACCAATCTATTCTATTGTAAAATGAAAGATTTTCATGCTAAATATCGCCCCTCAATCCTGAGATGATGCTAAAATGTTACTTCACAAAGAGTTACCTCCCCTTACAAAACACAATGTATGACATAGGCCTACGGTATTGATGCACCAGTCTCAGTGGTAATTACACATCTTCTTTATTATCGTTCGCCTTCTTACACTTGAATACCCAGTCTCCTCAACAAATCTGGTGGTCTTCTGTGCCAAGGGCATCCACTGGTCCATATAACTTTTCTTTGAGTGGTGTTGGTGAATGCCATATTTTATCTCTCATGAACAGTGCCTGATGGATCTTGCATGACTGTAACAGGTATGAAGTATCATGCTCTGCTTCTCCACAAGGACACATTGGAGATGAAACAACTTTCAGGACTTTGTATAGATGTTGATTGAGTCTGTTGTGTCCTGTCGGAAGATGGTAGTTTGGTCAGATCTTGTTAGCTGGTGGTAACTGTCTTGTTGCTGATGGGTGTTGAACAGAGATTTGATGATAGTCTTCATTTATGTGTAGCAGACTGGATTTTCTTCCTGTTATTGTTCAGCACCATTCTTTGCTAATTTATCGGCTTGTTCATTACCCCAAACTCCACAGTGAGAAGGGATCCACTGTTGTACTGTTGTCAGACTAAAGCTTGTTCAAGTTGAAGTAGCTTGTCGTTGCACAGAGAGCTGGCATCAGTCAGGAATAAGTTACTTGAGTTGTGTTATCAACTTAATTTGTTTTTGATTGAGTGTGCAGCATGAATAAGGGCTTCTTCTTCAGCTTTGTAGTTGCTTCTGATTGTTGAACTCCGTTAAGGGGTATACTTCATGTACACTGTATATACCAGCCCCTCCTTTTGTTGTGGCATTTGCTTACCCAGGAGTCTGAAGGGTACTCGTCTTCAAGCATACTCATTGTAATTACACATGATCTGGTATGTTTTAGTCAGATAAATTATTAAAATAATATTTAAAAACAAAATTTTGTATGTTGATGTATTAATGTACATGGTGTATGATCTGACAAGTTTTACTTATATAAGAAATTAAAATGATATTGAGAAACGAAAGCATGTCATATCAATTAGATATATTTAATGTAAACTATGTACAGACCAACCATTGTATAGTATTTGTATGTCAGACAACACTGAAACTCGAAATAAATTTAAATTTAGGTCTATTCAATTTCTAACTGTATCAGTGTATGTAAACTCAAGTCAAGACTGAGTGACAGTAACTTAATTTAAAAGTTTAATTATTCAGAAACAAGTAAATAGTACCGAAATTTATACAAATATACATCATCTAATGTTTAAAATATATACAGAAAACAAAGAGAACAGAAATGCTTTACACGATAGGTAAACAACCGTTAATGCAATATCCTTCTAGCGAGTTTTGTCTGTTTTGTTTATGTTTTCGAGGCGAGGTGTCCGCCAAATTGGATTTACCGTTATACTACCCCTGGGGATTTCAACAGCATTTTTCATACCAAGAACGGTTTTGACAGATTGGCATATATATATATTTATTTTAAGGGATAA